TACAGACAGTACCTGTCAATGTCATACTTTATGGGCATACCGACCTAATTAGTGCATGCCCAAAAAGTATGACATTGACAGGTACTGTATGTACCACTAAGAAATTCAGGACTTCATAGGCGTGATTTTTACTGACAGCTGTCGCAGAGATCAAGCTATCATTTATGAACCATAAATCGCGATACAAAGATCAAAATCGATAATACTGGTGCTGGTGCAACACAACAAAAAATTATGTCATTTTACGCTGTACGAAAAAAAATTGCTACGTTAAACAAATTACTTGTCGAATTGCTAGATGAAACAAATTTTGAAGGTGGGCGTATATACTCGGATATAAATACAAAAAGTGTCAATCAAAACGAAAAATGTTAGTGGAACGAACAGATATAGCTGCTACCTAATTGTGTGATTGTGATGGACAGTGCACCATATGATAAAGTACAAATAAATAAAAGCCCTAATATGGCAAGCCTCAAAATAGATATGGTAGAGTGGCTTTATAACAAGGTACTGTTGTTTTCACCAAATTTTCCCAAAAAATATTTTATGTGAATTAATAGAAATAAATAAACCAGGGCCCATATATAAAGCTGACGAATTAATAAAATCACATGGTCATAATGTTTTGCGACTGCCCCCATATCTTGCAGATTTAAATTCAATTGAGCTAATATGGAGTGTTATGAAGAGACGGTTCGAAGAGAAAAAAGTGGGCCAGAGAGATGATCAAGTGGAATCCCTTATAAAAGAAACGTTAAGCTCAATAAGCGAAGAGATTTGGAAAAAAAAAGAGCTCAGATGGTATAAAAATTGAATATGAAAAATAAAATAATAAATGAAGTAAGTAATCGCTTTTTATTGTGGGTTGGCATTCTAACCTCCATGGACAGTGACGAAAGTGATAGTGACAGTGAGTGTTCAAGTAACATTGAAGAAGTTATTATCCCTTTACACCTTATTGATCATAATTATAAAATGATGCTTTTTAACCCTCTCTTAATAAATTTATCCCGAATTCCTATTATTAATTTTAATTCCTATTGATATATGAATTATTTCAGAGAGTACACAATAACACTTAAAAAGTCACATAAGATAGTCATCAGCACCATATCCATATCCATAATTCCTTTCCCTGCATTTTGGGAACGCTATTCACATTGAAACGTGCAACACTGTAAATTACAGTGCTGCCAATCGGATTACGCGTCAAGTTACGATGAACGGACAATAGAGATAGATGAGCAATTCAAATTTTATTTACGTTAAGTCCCGTGACCATCCGTCAGATGGCGTAAAATTAAGAGTGCTTTGAGCTCGCCCTTTATTTGCACTTTACAATTTCATATTTTTAGAACCATTAATTACATTGCACAAGTGCTGCAATGTTTCTTTATATTTCTTGTGCTAATTGCTAGTTCCTATTAATAAAATAAAAACCGGATATATTTAAAATGTTTATTGTTTAAAAATTCTTTGCCTAAATTATTAATATTAGATGTGTTAAATTTAACAATATTTGCATAATATCAATTGATTTCTTTAAACACATTCTTTTTAACTGGATAGTTAAGTTAGTAAATATATTATGTTACAGAGAATACAATACAATAGAATTATTATTATTAAATATAGATTATTACATCATACTTATTAAAATTCATGTTTTATTTACTACAGATACCTCTATCGTGGGAAAAACCAACAAGAAACCCAGCGGGACTTTTTTTAAAACACTTTATAATAATTTTGTTTATATATTTTTTAAATAAATTTTAATAGTATAAGCATGGTGGCGATCACCTCAATCCCAGGGGTTATTATTGATGTATTTTTTGATATTATAGTAACACTTTTTGTACATTTTTCCTTAAATAAAACCTTTCAACTTATTTATTGACAAATTTTGTACATTTTCTGAAATTTTGTTTTAAAAGCGTATATGTTGCCCCATAAAAGCACTACTGACTCAGTGGATTCAGTAGTCAGACAAGCTAATGTTTGTTCCTAGTGTTTAAAGTATAAACATCTTTATTCTTATGAAAGCTATTTATATTTTTATGTACATACATTACATATATATATATATATATATATATATATATATATATATATATATATATATATATATATATATATATATATATATATATATGTATATATATATACAATAATGTATGTAATGTATAATTTACAAAAGTGATTTTCTTATGCCCACTATACCATTGTACATGTGTAAATCAATATATATTTTTTCACAAAATCAGAATTTTATATATGTATTATAACATACTCATACATAATACAACCTCACAAACCATTTGCGAAATTATAATCAATCTAATAAATTGTGGAAGGTACCATATAATCACATAAAGCAACAAAAATAATACCAAGAAAAAAATATTTGATTTGAAACTGATATCTTTGACTATGCACACCCACAACATATTCCTGAATATGCAGTTAGGAGTATAATATGAAGATGGTACAATTTCGAAGACAAATTGTTTGGCCACTTCGATAAAAAGAAAAAAGCCTTAAAAGATATATATTCTTAAGTAAATTGTTCACTTTTTACTCAAAATGGACATTAAAAATGTCCTTAAATAAATACTAATTAAACCAGGTATAAACTCAATTATATTTAAGCAAATGAAAGAACAACGCTTGAGCATGGCGGAGTGCTTGTGTTTCTTAATACTTGATGAGATGCTAGTGACTTCTCTCACTACGTTACAATCAAAGAGTATAATAAGTATATATAGGATATATACTTATTATACTCTTTGATATATAGGTTTTGAAGACTGAAGATGTTAAGAGTGAAAATATGACCATGAACATGTTTTGGTTTGATGATAAAGGAGATAAAGTTCATATTAAGCTATCAACTAGTTATAGATTTTTTACACTGCACACAGTCTTACTTTAGCATAGTAAGACTCCTTTCATTAAAATTTCTAAATGGCGTAAAGACAAGGTATGCACACTTCCGCTAGTCAAATTTCATTTATAAAAAGATATTTTTATTACCTAGGTCCTTTACTTTAAAACATAATAAATGCAAAAATAGAGATTTACGAAATGTCAATATTTAATTGTAAAACTTCTGTCCGCTCTTTCCTGCTAAATAAGTCATATGATGGATACGGAGCAATACTTATTAACATTGTTATAAAATTACGTTGCATTGTTATATGTTTATTTTATAATTTTTTTTAATACATGTACATGCTCTGACACACACACACACACACAGAGAGAGAGAGAGAGAGATCACTAATTATGTCTCTAAAATTTTATAATTTGTTTATATAAAAAATTAAATTAATTTAAACAATACAACTATGTATTCCTAATCAACAGGGGAGATGGGACTGTTCTCCTAAATACTGGTTACTAAGTAAACCTAGCTAGGAAAAGCAGGTTTCTATCCATTTCAAATTGGTCCTCATAATGTATTGTATATATTTGTAAAAAGTATGTGAACTATGAAAATGAAGAATTATTATTATTATTATATTATTACATTTTCATAAATATATTGCTTTGCCAAAGTTAATATATTTATTTCTTAAATTTTTTCTCTAAGGGATTCTTTACAATTTAAGATATAAATTGAACGTACGTCTCTCGTTCATAAAACATATAAAAGAGAGAAAGAGTCATTTATAATACATAGGTGTGCCCTCTAGTTCGATAAAAGTAAGTCTAGTTTACGTGGCCACACTAAAGATGGCAGCACAAAAAGCTATCAATATACATTGAAGTAATATGTACTTACGTACTAGAATAGTTATCTCAAACAAAAAATGTGCGCTACTCTGTGTTCGCGCGGTTGTTTTTTTATCATAGTATAAACATAGGTAGAATGACCCGTAGGTAAATTGTATTGTTAAATAGGTAAATTATATCGAGAACAATATTATTTATTTTGTATATTATATTTGCTTATTTAATATAACATTACATAATATTATATCACAATTACATTTTAATGATATTTTATCTGAATATTTTAAACGGTATTTAAGTCAAATATAAAAAAAACATACTAAATGTATGTTTAACAAAACTTATTAACATAACATTTAAATTACAAATATTTAAATTAGAGTAAAAGTCGTTCATAAATGTTGGGCACGCGAGAGTTAAAAAATGGACGAATTTATACCACTTTGACTTTGATGTGGAAACCTAAAAATAAAATAAAAGAATAATAAGCAGATTAAAACATAAAATTGTGCCAAATTATAATAACTTACATATGTTTCTACAAAAAGATATGTATAATAATATATTCGTCCTGTACTTAAGTACCCACAGAAATGTCGCATCTCAACATACATATTATTCATTTCATAATCTATATTCCATGACACAAGATGGCGTCTTAGGAATAATTTGTTTTATTATTAATACATAATACGTTTTTATTGATCAAGTATCTTATTAACCGATGAAAAGTAATTCCTTGGTTTTTACTGACATTTCTTGAATTATTTGTGCAATATCTAAGTACACACGACGGCATATTTTTATCAAGAGATATTTTTTTAAATCAACACAACACGTGACAACTCTATAAGCGCCCCTGGCGAGTGACTGCATACAACTTTATAATCTTATAAACTTTATAATCTTGTACATACAACTTTATAGTTTGTGGTGACTGATTAAAGTCCGGTGCGCAGATTACTGACTATATACTAGAGAGTGCGGTGTATGCACCGCAGTTGAGTGGAACAGAGTAGCTGAATGCAGTGTCGCCTCTAGTACGTAGTACATAATAGCTCAATGTCAATCCCGTATTCAGGGTAAATGTGTTCTGTGATTGTGATGTCAATATCTCTCGTTAGAGAGTAGTATGTTCCTTGGTCAATATATCAATTTGTCCTCAAAATGATGTTCTAAGTGCCCATGACTAAATATTTGTGTGAAGAAATGTTATTGGTTTATTACTATATTTTAGGGTTTGTTTTATTATTTTAATTATGAACAAAATAGAAATAGTCGTGGATTTAGTAGAAGAATCTTCAGTAAGTAATTTGAAAGTGAATATAACTATGTGTTTATAAGTATTGTGTGTAGTGTATGTATAGTGAACCCAACTGATCCAAGGATGCAGTATTCTGTTGTTTTTGTTTTTTCTTTGCACATTTCCTAGTACCCTGCCGTGTGAAAAGGCGAGGAAAATGGGCAATAGGCATATCTCTTGTAGTTCGGAGGGAAATCGCCTGTGACGGGATTAAATATTTTTGCATCACTGTAAAATTGCCTTAATAATTAATAATAGTGTATGTGGAGTATTTAAATAGCAAAATCATGGAGATAATAATTTGTGATCGATATTAACCGCTCAGGCTCCAACATTTCGTTAGATTAACTTAGTAGGATATACGGTCAAGCCAAAGATAAAGATAGTACGTCGGACTAAGGATATAACTTAGGGTCATTTTGCTAATCCATTTTACTATGTTCTTATCCAAAAATAAAAAATAATCAACAATTAAAATATCGAATTATTTGTATGAAGACCAAGTGAGCTCTAGAGAAATGACGATTGCAAGACATTGTCGATAAATAAAATGTTTTGAGAAATTATCAACTACCATGTAGTGGCGGTGTATGAATATAACTTTATCAACATGTCAATGTACTATGAATAATCATGTTGATATAGTTGAAAAACTACTTGGAACATTAGAAATACTTATAATACGACTTTATATATGCAATTTAAAATTCATATTAGGTTTTATTTCAGTAGTCGATTTTTATTACCTTTCTTACATAAGCTATGTAATAAGTACCATTCTAATTATTATTTTTGAAATATACAAATTTCATCTAACCTACCCGATCAGTCAGTGTCAGTGATTAAAAACATCCTAATTACAATAGAGAATATTGATGGGTACTACCATATGCTTGGGATGCTATATTTAATAAAATTAAATCCAAACCCAAGCATACCACTGCAATAATTCAAGATATTGTAAGCTCATTCTGCATAGATTGGACCAAAAATTTATATACAAAAACTAAAAGTAGCCAGGTTAACTATGACATCAGGACGACAAACACCTCAGTTCCCTCTATGACCATGGGTGCTGAAAAGCACCCGAAATGTCGGGAATTAAAAAGTTAAATTAAATGCCATAAAATATGTAATAATTTCTTTCATTTAAAAAATATGATTTATATTTTATTCTTTTAAAGTTAAACTCCAAAAAATTTATTTTATTGTAAATTTATATTGAATGACATTTTTTACCGTCCGGAAGAAAATAGGGTGTAACATGTGAATGGAGTAGAAGCCTATGACACTGGTATTTTACAAAAAATTAAAACAAAAATTGAAAACATCCGAAACAAAGCAATATGTCTAGGCTTATAGACATAGAAGGAGCTTTTGACAGATCAAATTTCTCCAGCATAAAAGATGCCCTAAGTAGACATAATGTTGAACCGGCACTAATTGACTGGATAGTAAACATGCTTAGTACACGAACAATAAAGATTGCTGGTGGATCTCAGATAATTCAGATTATGAAAGGATGCCCGCAGGGTGCGGTTCTTTCACCTCTCCTGTGGAATATGGTCATTAATGAACTCATCAGAAAATTAAACGCTTACCATTTCTACACAGTCGTTATGCAGATGATCTGACAATACTGGTCTCTGGTAAGACAGCAAGCATTGTGTGCGATCTGACCCAAGCGGCTCTCCATATTGTGGAGAGATGGTGCAGGGAATATGACCTAACCGTTAATCCAAATAAAAAGGTTATAGCAATGTTCACACAAAAACAAATGCTGAATAACTATCATCTTCCAAGTCTTTTCAGCACAAAACTCCAGCTTTCCTCTGAGGTAAAATACCTAGGTCTTACCTTGGACAGTAAACTTAACTGGAACAAACACATAGAAAACAAAATTAGCAAAGCTAGTTTAACTTCCTGGCACTGCAGAAACATGATTGGCCATAAATATGATTGGCCCCATAAACCCCATCATTTGATGGGGTTTAATGCCAAAAATTATACTGTGGCTGTACAAAACTATAATTCGGCCCATGATCACATACGGCTCTCTGGTATGGTGGACCAAAACCAATGAAGCTACCACTATACAAAAGCATCAGCGTGTAATAGTGGGGATATGCAGTCCACTATTAACAGACTCCGAGTGGTCTAGTGGCGGAGAAATAAAACTACTATTTATGTGCAAACGACTGGTGTATCGAGTATTGAATATGGAATATATAATACGGAATATGGAATGAATTTTACGTCTACCCAGCCTATATTTATATGTCCGGCTACGTCGTTAGTTAACCAATAGTAACAATTTTTATTTGCCTAGCCACTTACCAACTACCAATAAAGATTATTAAAAATACAACTATTATGTACGTTCCATTTGCCGGCGTGAGACTCGTGTTATCTTCTCATATCTACGTCGCTGGACTGGGCTATAAAAGTTTTGCAGGCCGGTGCGCGCGAATGCGCCCTTCTTTCTGCCAAGGAGGGTCGCGTCCGTATACGGCTTAGAGATCTCTAGTTAGACCGTTAAGTCAGTCCCTAAAAGGTTATGTGGAGAAGCGGCGTAGTCGGCGAGCGGCGGCGGCGTGGGACACAGCTTCGAAACAGCAAGAAGAAGCGAGCTGCGGCGTTGAAGATACGGCTTCAAAATGGTCGACGGATACATAACGATAGCGGTGTGTGAAGACGATGTGGCCCTGAATGTGTGTGATTTGCGGCTGTTTCTTGTTTCTTTATTAGAACGTTAAATATATACGTCAAATTATCTCGCATCAATATGCAGCCCGCAGTATCTCAGTAGCCGGGGATAGTTAGGAAATAACAACATGCAGGTGTTCGAATCTCTCCGTGGAGATTAATCTCTCCAGAGATTAGCTTGTATGGCTGCCACGGGCTGCATAAGGACCACACCGAGGCTATGCTGGAGCTAACACCGCTTCATCTACATATACAATAAGAAGCAACTTTAGCTGCCATTAGACTCAAGACCCTAAATATTTTAAGTAAGAGTAGAGTCCCCCATACAGACATAATCGATAGAATTTACTAAAAAATTCCTAACTTACAAGCCAAGTATGATAGGATCCCAAAATTATTTGTATTCGATAAGAAGTACAGGATACAATTGAAGGAAACTGACCATCTGGAAGGATTGGGTCCAGGAGAGCTCAAAGTTTTCACGGATGGCTCTAAGACAAATGAAGGTGTGGGGTCTGGGGCTTTCTTTGAAGACAGACCTTAATATCTTTATTAAGGTACCCACAACACAGTCTTCCAGGCTGAATGCATGGCTATCATCCAAGCGGCCAAAGCAATAGAGGCTAGGAAGGTGAAAGACTTCTCCTTCAGAATACTGACAGACAGTATGGCGGTACTACAAGCTCTGAGTTGCAATGTGACGAACTCGGGACTGATATACGAGTGCCATCAACGATTGAATGAGGTATGTAAGCACAACAATGTGACTCTGCAATGGATCAAGGGACACAGTGGATCTAGAGGCAATGATGCAGCAGATGAACTGGCCAGAAGGGGATCGGCCCTGGCAACTATAGGGCCGTAACCAATAACCAGTGAACAAACGTAGCCAAAGGGTGGCTACGTTTGTTCACTGGTACGTAGATACTTCAATAATTTACACGCTCAGCTTTGGAAAAATTTTGTAGATTGTAGACAAGCTAGAGAGGCCCTACCTGAAATAAACAGTTGTCTAACCAAGGTTCTAATGAAACTGAACAAGCCACAGATCAGGATAGTAACAAGTGCTATCACAGGACATGGCTCTTTTAATAAACATTTGTTCACCATAGGTGTTACTGATAGCCCCCTTTGCAGGGCATGCATGGGAGAGAAAGAAACGGCGGCATGTCCAGAAGTCGCTTCATACAGGGCTAAACATCTCGGCACGCCGGGATCGCTCCCCGAAGTTGCTTGCAACATCAAGGGACTGCTGAGCTTCTTCGAGGAGATATCATGGCTCGAATAACCATATTATTCCTGCCCACACGCAAAATACGCGCTTAGACGTGGAATTGCGGAAAACAGCCCGTCGTAAACTAAACTAAACCGATTGAAATTCAAATCATATCCGAATCCGAATCTATAAAAATGTAAAAAGTCATAGGAATATTTTTGTCCGCTTTTTATCAAAAAAAATTGAATAAAATATTTTGACATTTTCCTTTCTTTCTTTATGTATTTGTAATCGGTCAAAAGTATCCAAATTTGGGATTTTTTAATAATTTAAAAATTCATAATTTCGAAAAATATCAACTTTATCGTAAAAAGTTATAGGATCTATTTGATTCATAATTCAACAAAGAATATAAAAAATGTACCAGTTAAAAATAACATTTCCTTGCAATAAAAAAATTGGTGTAAACAATGTAGCATCAAGCTTAGGTGCATTTATATCAACAGTAAGACAATTTGAAGATAATCGCATTAAAAAAATTGAGGTGGGATAGTTTTTGGTACTCATGTGCCAATTCCTCCTGAAATTTAATCAAGACCAATGGTTAAAACAGTAATAAATAACAAAACCAAACAATTTACTGAAAAGAAAAGAAAATAATTAAATATAATTCTTAATAACATTTAAAAAAGAATTGTTCTGATCACTTTTATCTATGGTTTTGAGCAATATAATGCATTCTAGGGTTCTGAGGGGTGCCTTAAAAATATTATTATATTCTTTGTCGGGGTCCAAAAATTAGAATGCTTAAACGTTATCATTAGCTTGCAGCAGTTAGTGTCCATGTTTTAGCAGCATATGTGACTACAGACAGGACTTATACATGATAGAGCTAGATTAGAACTATTTTATGTTTGTAGCACAAATGGGTCAGCTTGAGCAGGGAAAGACCACGCTCTTACAGAGAACTAGCGTAAAGTAGCAGCTTAATGCTGTTGTGTTTCGTATGGTGAGTGTAGAGAACTGAATACTTTTTTACTGGATAAGAGGCATTTCATCTTTGTCCTCAAGGGTGACGGCACATCTGTATTTTGATTACTAATTGAGGATATATGTGGATGTCTAAGGACATTAGTAGCCACTTACTATCAGGTGGACTGTGTGCTCATTTGTCACCCAAATCTATAAAAAAAAACTCAATGGTTTAAAACATTTGTCATCAGTTCAGTCTTAAAGTATAAAGTTAAGTGACTAATACCACAACACTTAACAACATTTAAAAGTTTATTAGCATTTGAGTATTTGGCTATATAAGATGTATCTTACCTAGTTTGATGAACATCTTCCTCCTTCATTAACTTTTACATGAACAGGTGAAGTTGTGGTGTTGTTGCCATTAGTGGTGCCAATAATAGTGCATGCAGTTGTGGGAGGGTTAGAAGTGCTCCTTAAACTAGCTAAGACACATTATTTTTATTTTTCATGTGGATCTTGCCTAATTTATACATCTTTGGATTTTGGCAAAATAACATCTGATTCTATTAATATAAGTTTTCTTACAGGCTGTTGAAACAATTGCATTAGATGATGAACCAGATATTACTAGTGATTTAATTTCCAAAGAAAATAAATTATTTAATGAAATTGTTAATAAGTGCTATGACATAAAGGATTCAAAAGGAATGAAGAGAATTCTAAATAAAATGGTTATACCTGCTTATAGACAACTTGATGAAAATTACAAGAAATCACAACGCTTTGAAGCAGTTTTATATAAAATTCTAAAACTCATTGAAACAGACCCATTTCGTAAATTCACTCATATTAGGGAATTGTATGAAACATTAAAGCTGCATAAAGTGAGAAAAAAAGTTAATTTTGTTACATTAGCAACCAATATTACAGGTAATTAGGTTACAAAATATGAGTTTATCAATATTTCAGTTAATCTTTAGTTTTCATGTTACATTTCAGAAAAAAACCATTATAATGGTCATAAAAGAAAGACTGATTATAATATGTGTAACTTAAGAAAAAATCCTAAAATAGATGTAATTGACTTGGATGATGAAAGCACCACTGTAATAAACTTAGATAAATATGAGTTTGATGTAGTAGTAATTGATGATGAAAGAAATAATTTAGATGAAGAAAAAGAAAATAAAGATTTGGATACCTGCAATACAAGTTTAGATAAGACTAAAATTACAAAAGCATTACAAGCTAGATGTAAAGTTATGTCTAATGGGAATTTAAATGAAAAAGAGGTAACTAATGGTGTACAGCACAATGATTTAATGGCAGAAGATGTTGATAGTGAAGTTAACGAATTTTTAGTACCAAAGGCGGTTGAAATAATTGAAAATGAATGTGAACCCACAGACAGTGAAAAGGTGCTTCAAATTGAAAAACAAATAGCAATATATAAGGAGAAGATTGCAACGTTAGAGGAACAAGAGGTTGATGATGATACAATGGCATCACCATATATAGTGAGTGAAAAGTAAGTTTCAAACTTGTTTATATTGTTTTTTCCACTAACGATGTAAAGACACTATATAGGTGTACAATATAGAGGTAGCAACACATCTGTACTTATCTTTATTTAATCCGCGAGAACTCGCGTTATAAGCATTTTACTGACGGTAAATTTAAAAATGGCGCCATTCAAAAACCTACCTGACAGTATCTCGGGTCGACTCGACTCGACGAAGTCGCGCGGGGTTTCGCTCATTGCGCGAGTTTCGATATAAGTATTGTTTTTGTAAGTTTTTTTCAAATGTTTATATATTTATAATCTACCTTTTTTTATTTTATTAACAGTGATGGTTTCCCTTTTTTTTTTTTTCGTTTCTCTGTCTACCAGGGGTGTATAAACTATAATTTGAAATAATAAAATGAGATCTATGTTTATTATAAATGGATGAAAAGGAGCAACAAATTGTGGCGTGGCTGATGGAAAAGGTACGGAGGAAATAGAAGACCCAGATTGTAGGATTGACAGAGCAAAAAGTGACAGAGATAGTGAGCACGGTGAACATTGCACCGACACAGAACAGTCATTAAACGAAGCTGAAGAAGGTGAGGATTATTTAAGTCAATCCGGACAAGGTTTATATTACTTAGGCAAAGATAATATTACCAAATAGAATTATCATCTACAACGTACTGATGTAAGGACAAGGTCACATAACATAGTTGACAATGGACCAAGGGTAAAACCAGTAGCCAAAAATGCTAAACATATTATTGAATGTTTTCTCCTTTTGTTTTTTACACAAATAATTATTAAATTATAAAAAAATCAGACAGAGACTGAGACTGTAAAGAGACGGATATCATAGAGATAAAAGCATTTATTGGGCTCTTGTGTATGGCTGGTATAAAAGAGGTCTGGGTTGGTGGGGGAGGTGGTTCGGGGTTGGTGTGTTGATGTATAATAAATTGAATCATCTAATTATAAAAGAAATGTAGGAGACTGATGGCACCGCTGCTGATGTATTTCAAGCTGTCATGAATCGCCACCGATTTATGTTTTTGATGAGGTGCATTCAATTTGATGATATACAGACTCGTCACGAGAGATCTGAATCTGACAATATTGCAGCAATTCGTAAATATTCATCTATCTATCAAGTTGGAGAAAATGAAACCTAGATGAAATGTTAGAATCATTCTGGGGTCGTTGCAAATTCCGAATGTGCATTGATAACAAACCAGCCAAATAGAAATGCACTGTGTGATGCGCGTTCATATTATACAAGAAATTTAGAGATTTATCCAGGGAAACAACTAAATGGTCCATACAAATATGATAATTCCCCATCTGTTGTTGTTACTTCATTAAAAGATGTTCTAAATTCTGGAAGAAATATTACAGCAGATAATTATTTTACATCTATCCCATTGACCAACGAATTGTTGACTAAATGTACTACTTTGATTTGTACTATACTAAAAACAAAAGGGAAATTTCACCTATGTTTTTGAATACTAAAGTAAGACCAAAGCCCAATAGCATATTCTGGGTTTCATACGGGCAAGTTTCTGGTATCCTATATACCAAACAAAAAGAACAATAAAAATGTTCTTATGATTAGTACTCTTCATAATGACGACCGAATCGATCCTGAAACTGGAGATGACGCAAAACCTGAAATAATTACATTTTACAATAAAACCAAAGGAGGGGTAGATGTTGTCGATAGATTGAAACAAGAATATGCTGTAGCTTGAGTGGCCTATAGGTGGCCACTGGGAATTTTTTTCCCATTTTGAATATAACAGGTATCAATAGTCAAATTATTTATCACGGAAATTGTGATGATGTAATCACAAGGAAGGAATACTTGAAAAAGCTGTCTCGCACACTAACCCCAGAACACATCAACAGAAGAAGCTCTTTGCGAAATATATCGCCACACATATATATCAACCATATATATATATATATATATATATATATATATATATATATATATATATATATATATATATATATATATATATAGTACAGGGTGTTTGGTGGGTGGTCCGACAAACTGAAATGGGAGATAGATGGGTTCGTTAGAAGTATATTTTCTTAGTAAATTTTTTTTTCTATCTCTTACCATTTTTTTTAAATGAATTTTTAAATTTTTTTTGTTATTATCCCTATTTTCTAGTATTTTGGTTCAATAACTTCTACTATTTCTAGTTTTCTACCATTGTTTTTTATTTTTCCTAAGAAATATGATGTTTTTTAAATTAAAAGAAAGATTGAAAGCCCAAAAGGCATAAGAAAAAATACTTACGACACATTGAAAGTGAACAAACGAGAAAAAAATTGTAAGCCCTTAAGTTTCCAGCCCCTTAAAAAAAATATGTTGAGTAATTTCAAATGGCCTTAAAAACTTTCCTGATTTACCCTCTTTCTATCGGTATATAATATGTCAAATAAAACTTTAGATTATTTAACAAAATCATTGATAATTGAATGTGAGGGCGGGGGGAATTAAAAAATTGCCGCTTAGGACCCGCGGGTCAGCTGCAGCTACCAGCTCATACGAGCGCCTATTATTGTATTTAATACAAAAAAATTAATGGTTGTATCTACACTACACTAACCAGGGTCTTGCTCAATAATAATAAAAAAAATAAGTACCTACTAGTAATTTTTTACTAAATTTACAAGTTTTGTTCAAAATGTCCTACTATTATGCAGACACGCTTGATATCTTCGACGTATTTCAGTCGTGGTAGTTTTTAATCGCATTTCTTCTTTCATAATATGAAAAGCAGCATTTATTGTTCCAATCAACTCTTCTTTTGTTTGTATTTCATTTTCGTATACAATTTCCTTTGCTCGGACCCAGACATAAAAATCCATTGGAGTCAGATCTGGGGATCTCGTAGGCCATTCGATAGGTCCGAGTCTCCCTATCCACGTGTTCGGAAATACCGCATCTAAATATTCCCTTACGGTTCTGCGATAGTGGGCAGGGCAGCCATCGTTTTGAAATATTATTCTTGTGTCCTCATTCATTATTGGTACCTCGCTCATTAGGTCCGGGAGATCATTTTGTAAAAAATGTAAATAATTATCTCCGTTTAAATTATCAGTTAGATAATGAGGACCGATTAAATATCTTCCAATCACACCTGCCCACACGTTAACACTAAATCGTGTCTGATGCGATATTTGTCTCGTTTTACGTGGATTTTTATCTTTATCTGACCAATAATGTAAATTATGTTGATTTAAAATGCCTTCTCGTGTAAACTTTGACTCGTCGGTCCATAAAATGCTCTTCAAAAATTGATTATCGTCGACATCTTTGTGCAGTATAAAGCTGCAAAATTCTGTACGCCGTGCAAAATCTCCTTCCACGATACCTAGCACAAAAAAAATAGTGTAAGTTACTTTACTCACTTTAAAATGTACGAAATAATTAATAATGGATAAGATAAACAGTAATTTTATAAAAAGAAGAAATAATAAGTACCTTGCACTGGGGTGAGGTGAAATGGGTGCTTGCAATCGTTGCGGAGAACCGACCACACTTTCCATACAGAAAGGCCGAGTTCAGTCGCTACTTTTCTAATGCTTATAGTGGGATCATCGTCAAAAGTCGCCAAGATACGCTCATCCACAGCAACATCAAGTGGTCTTCCACGTACTCCTGGTTCCCTGTGTTGCAATTTGCCGGTTTCACGTAGCCTCTATAAGTATTTCCAAACGTATCATGGCTAGGCAACCTTCTCGTGGGATACAGCTCTCCATAAAGTCTACGTGCTCTGTGGCCGTTATTCAGGGCCCGGCCATAAACCAAAAGCATATCAGCGTATTCTTGGTTAGTAAAATAAGTGCGTTGAGCCATAATCACTGCAGTGTTTTGAATTAAGTTTGAACACTACCGTCCGAAAACAGAAACAAATAACAAACAACAAAAACTTAGCAATCAACGAAACAAAAACTAAACTCAACGAAACTGTTCAACAATGAATGTCGAAAAAGAACGCGCAAGTAGCTTCAGAGACAGTCAAATCACGACTAAATTTAATAACAACGGAAGCAGGTAGCTGATCCGCGCGTCGTAACTTCGTCTGTACCACCAGAAAGAGACAACATCTATATGGCTCGCAAACGCAAGAATGAAACCATAAAAAATATATTTACACGTGTAAAAACCAGTTTAGGGTGCCCTGGCAATTTTTCGAAACTTGTAATTTTTTAATTCCCCCCGTTCTCACATTTGATTATCAACAATTTAGTCGATAATCTAAAGTTTTATGTAACATGTGATATACCGATAGAAAGAGGATGAAATAGAAAATTTTTAATGGCCATTTGAAATTACTCAACATATTTTTTTTTTAAGGGGCTGGAAACTTAAGGGCTTACAATTTTTTTCTCGTTTGTTCACTTTCAATGTGTCGTTAGTATTTTTTCTTATGCCTTTTGGGCTTTCAATCTTTCTTTTAATTTAAAAAAATTATATTTCTTAGGAAAAATAGAAAAAAAAATGGTAGAAAACTAGAAATAGTAGAAGTTATTGAACCAAAATACTAGAAAATTGGGATAATAACAAAAAAAATTTAAAAATTCATTTAAAAAAATGGTAAGAGATAGAAAAAAAATTTACTAAGAAAATATGAACCCATCTATCTCCCATTTCAGTTTGTCGGACCACCCACCAAACACCCTGTATATATATATAATATAATATATATATATATATATATATATATATAGTCTATGTATAATAGTATATGTATATGATGAGGATTAAGATATTATGTTTTGCTTTAAGAAATTTTAGGTAAAGATTTTTTTAATTTTTCCCAAAGACTACATGAGAAGACTGCAATTTAAGATCTTAAATGTTAATGTAAAAAACGTTTGTTTTTTCTTTAAATAAACATTCAATTAATAAAATCTTATGTGTATTATTATATTCATAACAAAAAAAAATCCACACGCTATGTTTTAGGTATTAAAAAGAATTTTACAAACTTTTTTGACAGAATGCTGTATACGCGAGTGCTTGCGTAACATTTAAGGGCGCGAGTTCTGCCGGGTTAAAGTTAGCTACAGGACTGCATTAACCACTTACCGTCATGTTGACTGTATGTTCGTTTATCACTTCAGTTCTATGAATATAGTCCTATTTCCCTACATATGGACAGCATATGGTTGATATTATTTTCCCTATTATTTGTCATAACCTTAACTTCTCCATTTCTACGAGAGGTTTTCCATCATCTTGGAAAATGCTGAAGTTATACCTATTCCAAAGAAAATCTATAAAAAACTATAGAGGTAGCTACACATCTGTACTTATCTTTATTTAATCCGCGAGAACTCACGTTATAAGCATTTTACTCACGGTAAATTTAAAAATGGCGCCATTCAAAAACCTACTTGACAGTCTCTCGGGTCGACTCGACTCGACGAAGTCGCGCGGGGTTTCGCTCATCACGCGAGTTTCGATATAAGTATTGTTTTTGTAAGTTTTTTTCAAAGTTTTTTATATATTTATAATCTACCTTTTTTAATTAACAATGATGGTTTGTGTATAAACTATAATTTGAAATAATAAAATGAGATCTATGTTTATTATAAATGGATGAAAAGGAGCAACAAATTGTGGCGTGGCTGATGGAAAAAGGTACGGAGGAAATAGAAGACCCAGATAGTAGGATTAACAGAGCAAACAATCGAATTAAGCTTGCTTCTTTTTCTGAATATCGTCCTATATCTTAACAGCCCTTCATACCTAAAGTCCTTGAACGCCTTATTTACACACAGTTCAACAGTTTTCTTCATGCAAATTCTCTTCTTAATCTCTTTTTTTTGTTTTATTTTTTAAGAACGGTACCCCTAACAACGTTAATCCCTAACAGTCAGGCTTGCGACCTGGAGACAGTACTACCACAGCATTGGTGAACATTACCGATGATATCTGATTAGAAATGGAACATGAAGAAGTGACAGTTTATTACATTTCAGTAAAGCTTTTAATACTGTTAACCGTGATGTCCTACTGGGTACAATGTGCTCTCTTAACGTATCTAGCGCTTGGTTGGTTTCGGTGTTACCTCTGGTCGCCAGCATCGTATACGCATCAACGATACATCATCATCTTGGTGTAACGTACGTATTGGTGTACCGCAGGGAGGCGTTTTATTTCCTTTACTTTTTGCACTCAGTACCCAGTAATTTAACTTCTTCCTACTACCATTATGTAGATGATCTACTCTGAAACTGTCTACAATCTGAAACGGGTGATAGGCCAAGCCAGATAAGTTATCATAAAAATATAATAAAAAAATGTAAGTTTTTTTTGAAATCCTTATCAAATGCGCCAACTTTTAAAGTTACTTGCCTAACTGCCTAACTAAACTAGCGTAGTACATTGTTTTATCAGTACAGTCGGTTAAAATTAGGCAAAGTATAACTGTGAATACTTAGGCTATACATGACATATTCTTCCAAACTGGAGCAGTTGGTTTTCATTTAAGGCAACAACTTACAAAAGCATTATTCAGGATTACATAATAAAAAAAAATATATAATTTATAGTTGCGGGAGTTAAAAGACTATCACAAAGTGTAGATTTTCTCGATTATTTTAAAATGACTATTATTTAAAAAAAATATCTAAATTATTTATTTTATTTTTCTGGTAACTATTATGACTTGGTCTATCCACCGTTTCCAACTTGACTCCGATTTCTGGGACTACCTGTATACAAAAGCTTGTTCCAACGATCTCCCCAATGCTAGTATTAATGTCATTAATGCAGATCTCGAACGAATTCTTGAGTGGAGTAAAGCATACGGCCTTCACAATAACCCAGCAACATCGCAAGGCATTATCGCGGGCAGCTGCAAATGTTAGTTAAGTCGTGTCTTGATTACTTGCCTTATACATTATTTAGTAAAACTATTATTCCTTACAGAGATTTAGTAAAAAAACTTTCGGATCCAGATAGATAAGAATCTGTCGTGGGGACAGAACAAAAAAAGTTAATCGTAAAGTGTATGTCCCCGCAGCCTCCTTGCGTAGATTACGTAACTTTCTTCCCATTTCCACCAAAACTATGCCTGCCAAGTCTCTTCTCTTCCCCATTTTTGACTATGCAGACGGCAGCTAACTATATTTCACCGAGGCTCAGCTTGATAAACTTAAGCGAATTCAGAATTTTTGTATAAGGTTTATATTTAAATTGCGCAAATACGACTTCATCGGAATGCTCACATACTTCATCTTCTCTATTGTATTCTCTTTAATCCTTCGTGATTCCCATTCGCGTAACCTGACATCATCAGAGAGCTTGGAGTTGAATATGCACTAGTAAGTTTATGAA